GAGTGGCCAGACGAAGGGAAGAGCTAAAGAACAGGGGTGGACTTGGGAGTAAGGCCACAGGTGGACGGTGAACGGCCCCTCCCAGAGGAAACAATAGAGGAACGAAAGGGGAGTGGTTATTCAACTTTCCCATCTTTATTTAACAAAAATAGTCTCTTTAAAAAAAAATAAAAATCAAAAGTCTGTAAGATTTAACATATTGTGTGCCATCCTCCCAGGAAAGAAAGAAAGAAGAAGAAGATGGAGGGCTTAACCGTTTTCTAACACTTAGTTTTTATATCTGCTGTATCTCAGATGTGTTCAAATCCGCCAGCCGAGACCCCAAGCCTACCTGAACGGGCGTCCTTTCCTCTCCCCTCCTTCTGCCTGGAGCCCCGTGTTCCCTTCAGGCAGCATCAGCCAGTCGACCCAGACGGGTGAGTCAGTATCGTTCTGGGAGGTTGTTGTCAATCCGGCTGCTCTGATTGCTGCTGTGTCTGTTTGCAAACACTGTTCCTAACAACTTTTTGCAACAAGTCTTTGAGTGTTGCAAACACTCAATGTGAATGCTTTGAGTGTTTTTGCCGTTGTGAGTTTTGTTAGTGCAGGGGTCAGCAACACCCAAAGAGCCACAAAGGTCCTAACCGGAAGCCCCCCCCCCCTACTTTCCCGGTTCAATTCTGAAGCCAACCAGGAGTCCCATTCTCCCACCATAGCGACTCTTCCTAGCACGGCATCCTTCTTCCCCTGCCGTGTCCTAACCAAAAGCCCTTTCAACCGTGAAGCCAACCGGTGACAGGGAGCCGCAGCAGAGGGATGAAAGAGCCACATGCGGCTCCAGAGCTCAGGTTGCTGATCCCTGTGTTAGTGATTGTAACAAGCGGGAAGAATAACAATGCCACGAAAACTGCAGAAAAAAAAGTGCAGGTAGTTCTCGATTTACAAGTTTGTTTAGTGACCGTTCAAAGTTACAATGCCGCTGGAAGAAAGTGACTTAGGACCATCTTTCACCCTTACGACCGTTGCAACATCCCCATTGGCTCATGTAAATCCCGAGGTCGTGTAAATTCACCTTTTGCGACCTTCTGATAAGCAGAGTCATCGGGGGAGCCTGACAGCTGTGTTATTAATTTAACTGCAGTGAATGACTTAATAACCGTGGCAATAAAGCTCGTAAAACGGAGCAAGACTCACTTTACAGAGTACGCTCACTTTGCTGCTACGGGGAGAACACAATAAAACGAGCTAATCTACATTCAGTTTCCTTGCTTTTCCATATTCGGCTCGTGTTCATCACTGCTGCACAACCCAATGCAATCCAACAGTCCGGATTTTGCCAAATCTAAAGTTGTGTTTCACAACCTTTAAGACTTCAATTCCCAGAATTCCCCATTCTGCTTGCTGATTGAAGGTTGAAATCAACACATCTTAAAGCAACAGCCTCCCACTTCTACCATCCCATAATTTGCTAATGTTTCTGTTGAGATGAGTTTGCAATCTGTGAACTCCCAGGTTGAGATCTACTCATCCGTCCCCTCGCTCGGCCCTTGATCTCCAAAGATCTTGAGATCTTTGTTGAAGATGCAATGAATAACATCGGTCCGGTCTTATCTCGGCCTCTGCTGCTTGTGGTCCCAACCAACATGGGTTTTACACTCTTCCTTTCCCCACCAAAAACTTTTCCCCAACTGTCTCCGTTGCAGAAAAGACAAGCGACTCGGGCCCCCACGCCCAGTTCGTCTGGTCCGACCGCCGGGAGAGCGAGTCCCCAGGCCGACCATCATCAACGCAGAGAACCTGAAAGGTCTGGATGAACTGGACAACGATACAGAGGATGGCTGGGCAGGTGAGCCTCTCCGTGGCCGCACCTGGGTCTTCTCCCACAGACTCTCTCACACCTTGGTTTGGGCTTCCTGGTTTAAGGAAACTCCCCTTTTTTTAGGCTGCACGACAAATTGTGGATTTTGCTGCTGTAAGGGTTAGAGCGGGGGTAAAATAGATTTACCTTTGCTACCTGTTCGCTAGCAATGTGGATGCGCGAGGGTGTGCGCATGCCACCTTCCGCACACGCACAGAGCATTAAAAACAGACATGATGACATCTGGGTAGGTGGGCGGAGCCTGCAAAGGAAAGCAAACAGCCGGGGGAGGGGGGGTAATCCGCTGTGCCAGGCGATTACGATTAGAAAGCAGGAAATCCTGCTTTCTAGCTAATATAAATCGCGCGTCACAGCTCATTGTCTGCAATACCGGTTCACCTCCGGGTTAGGGTTGGTCTTGCATTCAGGATTAGGTGTTCTGACCCAGCTCCCCAGACACAGCCAACCCTCTGAAGTGAACTCCCAAGAGTGCTTTGTTAGAAGCACCAGCGGCCCTGCCCAAAATGTTCCCCTCGGAAGCGTGTCCGGTGTGTCCGGCAGGGAGACGAGCAGTTGTCTGCCACACCTTTTCATCTCCGCTCCCTGACTTTTATCCCCAGAGCTCGGGTGGGGCTTTGCTAGCAGCGGTGGCTCTTCCGTCCCAAGGACCGGCCCATAGATCTCCACCACTCTCCTCTCCTCCGCCTTCTGCGCGTCAGACTCGACTGTTCCTCCTCCTCCTCCTCCTCCTCATCGGCCACCTCCAGACCTGGGGGCTGTTGACCCTCCATCTGAGGGCTGGCGGACGGCCCATGACTGCCTCTCTCTGCCATTCCCTCCCCCCCCTCTGAGATTGCCCTGATGCTGGCCCTGACTCCCATGACGCCTCCTCTGATTAGGCTGCTGGACAGGCAGCAGCATTAGTATTGGCCAGGCCGAGCTTGGAAACAAAAGGCTTTGCAATGGTTTTGGGCTTAACGCTAGGCTGGACTAGACTTAGGAGCAAATCACTTTTGCTTTCAGTTTTTCTGCAAAAGAGTCCAGCAAATGGATTCCCTGCTTGGTGGTGGGTAAGTTCACACTGAAATCGCAGTGGCCGTTGGTTTCATTTCTCCTCATTCGGTTCCTTGCTTTTTCTAGGAATTCACGACGAAGTGGATTATTCCGAAAAACTGAAGTTCAGTGAGGATGAGGAGGAGGAAGACACCCTCAAAGACGGGAGACAGAAATGGTAAACGGAAAGAGATGCACGTGGAGAGGGTTATTGTGTCCCGTGTTTGTCTCAATCACCACCGTGAGTTCTAGTCCCGCCCTAGGCGTAAAAGCCAGCTGGGTGACTTTGTGCCAATCACCAGGAAACAGTGAATTCTAGTCCCTCCTTTGGCACAAAAGTCAGTTGGATGGCTTTGGGATAATCACCAGGAGATGGAGAGTTCCAGCCCCGCCTTATCTGGGTAACTTTGAAGCAGTCCCTCCCTGTTCTGGCCCAGGCTTCCTAGCAGCAGAAAACCGAGTCCTCGTCCCGATAAACCCCTTTGATTTAATTGACAGTGAATCCCTCTCCAGCAAAGTCTTTCCTCTCCCACCGTCTTTCAAGATAGAGTTCACCATTACCGCCCTTTATCAGGCTTGGAGAATGGCCAGGCCGATGTCTTTCAGACACCGCAGTACTTGGCAAGAATGCAGGAATGAATTAATTGTCTCCTGCAAAACCCCTCTCCCCTTTTGCTCCTCTTTTATTTCCTCTGGGAGGGGCCATTCACCGTCCACCTGTGGCCTTACTCCCAGGTCGACCCCTGTTCTTTAGCTCTTCCCTTCGTCTGGCCACTCTGCACATGGGCTCACTGGGAACAGGCTCCAGCTGCTCTTCTGCCCCACTGAGGTCTGACTCCGAAGGCAGCTGATAACTGTCAGACGGCCCTGGCCCCCTCTCTGCCTCCGACACGAAGCCCTCATCATCAGAGCCTTCCCCAGACTCCAGGACTGGCCCAGGTTCCTCCCCAACCTCCTCACTGGCCGAATCTGATGCCAGCTCTGCTCGCGGGCCTCCCCCTCAGCCCAACCTACCTTACAGGGTTGTTGTGGGGAAAATGGGAGGAGGAACTCTTAGGTAGGCTCGCCACCTTGAGTTATTTATAAAGACAGGATATAAGTACACAAATAAAAAGGCCTCCGTGCCTCTGTTGGCAGGAATGGCTGGGATCCCCGAAGGCCTCCTTTGCTGAGCTCGGCCGAAAGCACCGATGTCCATTACCCCACAGAGGACCCCAAGACTTGGAACGACTCAGCCAGCCTCTCTCGCACCATCCGCAAAGTGTCGGAAAGTCTGCCAGGCTCCAGAAAGCTCAACGGCTGGAGTCCTCTGCCGGAATATCAGGTATTTCGAACTGGGCCCCAAAACTGCAGAATTCACAGCAGGGATGCAACTGTCTTTGCTTTGGCGAGTAACTTGAAGAGGAAAAAAAAAGTGGCTAAGACGGTGAGCTTGTCGATCAGGAAGGTCGGCAATTCGGCGGTTCGAATCCCTAGTGCCGCGTAACGGAGTGAGCTCCTATTACTTGTCCCAGCTTCTGCCAACCTAGCAGTTCGAAAGCACGTAAATAAATGCAAGTAGAAAAACGGGAACCACCTTTGGTGGGAAGGGAACAGCCTTCTGTGAGCCTTTGGCGTTGAGTCATGCCGGCCACATGACCACGGAGACGTCTTCGGCCAGCGCTGGCTCTTCGGCTTTGGAACGGAGATGAGCACCATCGCCCCCTAGAGTCAGGAATGACTAGCACTTATGTGCGTGGGGAACCTTTACCTGGCCTTCTCCCACACTCACCCAATTCTCTACATATACGCACCTGTTGACCACCAGAAGTTTAAAAACCACCCAGGCAAAAGTAGTCCTTGACTTATTACAACAGTTTGTTCAGTGACCATTCCAAGTTACAAGTCAAATGTGACTTGGGACCATTCCTCACACTTAAGACCGTTGCCGCATCCCCACAATCCCCAGAATCAAAATTCAGATGCTTGGCAACCAGCTCCTATTGATTGATTGATTAATTGATCTTAAGTCGCTTGTTTCAATGCCTTTGTAACTTGAAACGGTTGCAGAGACAATCTGCAATCAGTAAATTGGCCCAGTTTGACTTTGTAGGCAAAGAAAAATCCGTTGCTTCTCCCTGTCGCCCTTCTACCTCGTATGGCGAGGAGGCCGTGTGGATTTCCGCCACCTTCTCTCGTGTCTTGTTGTGATGTCGGTTTCTCCATTCTTGGTACAGAAGCCCCCACTGTCATGTTTGCGGCAACAGTGTTCAGAAGAAAAAGAAGAGAAGCCGCCCCTGAGACAGAAGTTTGTCTACTCGGAAATGTCGGAAGCTGTCGAGCGGGCGAGGCGGCGACGGGAAGAGGAAGAGCGCAGAGCGCGGGAAGAGCGCCTGGCGGCCTGCGCAGCAAAACTGAAGCAGCTGGATCAGAAATGCAAGCTGGCACAGAAAGCGGGAGATGGTCCCAAACACGTCGAGAGTGATGAGCCTCGATCCTCGACCTCGGAGAAGAGCGCCGTCTCGGACAACAGCCACGTAACTCGGAGAGGTAAGCAGATTGGCACATATCAGACTTCCAGATATGAACCGGATGCCTCAAACCTCCTGTCCAGAAAAGGCCATGATGAAAAATGGAGTGTAAGTCCTGTTGTGTCAGAACTATTCATTAATTTCCACTTAAGAAAATTGATTTGCTCACCTAGTCAAATATCGCTAAATCCGTGCTAGATATAACAGAATTGAAGAGGGATTGGACTTGGATTGCTTACAGGAACTCCAGGCTGATTACTTGCTTGACTCCACCACCAGGTTCTGCCTCGTCTTCTATGCTTAAGAGGCGACTTTGTCATTAATCCTATGTTTAGTCTAGCTGATGTAATTGTATGTGGGAAAGATGTGAGATTGGGTGAAGAGAAGCTGGCTAGGGAACCGTCAGATAAGAGACCGCGTAGCCTTGAGCTGCACAAGGGCCAGAGAAAGAGGCTCAGAAAGGAACCCTCCCTCGTTTCTCAGGCTGTAAAAGAGACAGTGGGAGATTTGAACCTTCAGACCTGGAAAGTTCTGTTACTCCAGCTTTACAGTAAAATAAAAATTAGTTCATAGGCTTATAACTGGTCACTTAGCATTGAGAGATATAACAAACCTTCCCTGAAGCGACTTCCCATCCAGCTAAAGTTTTTGCTTAACGACCATTGTATTCTCTCTATGACCTCTGTAAAACAGCCATAAATCGGGAGCGATAACACAAATGACTGATTTTGCGACTCTCGTGACTTGCAAGCATAATGTCAGAACCGCCCACTAATACGAGTGTCACCACTTGCAAGCTTAAAGCAAACATACCTTTTATCCATGGTGTTTCCTGCTTGGCTGGAAACTGCTTGGCTGACCTGTAGCTCCCTTGCTTTAGGTGGCTTTCAATTTTTGCCTCCTCCTCCTCCTCCTCTTCTTCCCCCTCAGCCGTCCCTGAGCCTCATGCCCAGGAGCCCCCTTCCGGTTACGTGGATGAGGAGACCCCAGCGGCTGCCGCCACTGCAGCGCTCCGGAGTAGCAGCGAGGAGGAGCTCCGCGAAAGTGTTTCCCCCATGCAGGAATTCGGCAAACTCCCCAAGCTCCTTCCCCCGCGGTTCCAGAGAAAGCAGCAAGTAAGGGAAAGAAAATGGCTTAGTACCATTTTTCTCATTCATTTGGATTTTTCTTTCTTTTCTTTTGCAAAGCGGGTTGTCAAGGTTCCAAATAGCATCCAAAATCAAATCAAAGTTCAAGGCAAAGTTTAAAGTTCCAATTTATTAAGAGAGCCATGTTGGCACATCTTGGGAAACCTGAATCTGAAAGCTTCCTGGTTTTCCCCACCTAGTTGAAAGCTCAAGATCTTGCCACCCACCCACAATCCATCACGTGGTCCCATCTTCCACTGCCACGCTGACAGCTATCACTCGTAGAGTTCCGGCCAAGTGCCGAGGTGCAAAGAGAAAGGATGGCCTTGGCTTTCTAGAAAGGATTTTGTTATGGCTACATAGCGTCTCCCTCCGTACAGCCCCCCCCCCCTCCCATTTCCCCACCATAGAAAAAATGCCTAGGAGAATAATAAAAAGCGTGGCAGGCCAGAGACCCAAAAGAAACCACGGCTGCAGCCCTGACACGGGTTGAAGTTTGGGCCCCATAATATGAAATGTCTGTTCTTTCTTGAGTTGAACTGGCCTGGATTGAGCCAAAGATTGCAACTTTTCAGCACTGTAGCTTTTTTTTTGCATTTATTGATTTAGATTTAGACAGAGAGATACAGTCATAGGGCTGGAAGGGATTTCAGAGGCCTTCCAGTGCAACCCCCTGCTCAGACAGGAGACCCCATGCTATCTCAGTCAAAAGGTTGTCCAGTCTCTTCTTGGAGCATCTTCAACTTCTGGAGGCAACTTCTGTTCCACTGATTCATTGTTCTCACTGTCAGGAATTTCCTCCTTAGTTCTAG